CTTTTTGCCTTCTTTCATGCCATAGCAGATACCAATTGCAATGACATATTGAGCTTTCACTACTTTTTGAATCTTCTGGAGCTCTTCTGAAGTGACCTCTTTACCTTGTTCAGTGCGTATGATGGCTACTTTGTACTTTCCATACATTGCAATGTAGAACGTGATTCCTTCTGACCTTGTTTGTGTATATTTCTCTCCATTTATTGGTGTAGCCTGTCCCATTACAGCATTGAACTCAACATCAGTAGCTGTAACAAGAACGATATTAATATCTTTCACAAGATCATCAGTAAATGACTCATTTTGAATTTTATTTTTAAGCTCTGGACAATATTTGCTGACATCTGGAGGCCTATCAAAATAATATCAATGAAAATCTTCAATGCAATAGTAATTATATGATGTAACTATACATGTACAGTCATGCTGGAGGGGTTTGTGTGAAATACCTCCTAACAATTCACACTGTGCCCAATGCTATAAAAGCAATATTAAAAAGCTATTATTATTATATTGGTGATCTTATCACACATCTCATATTGGATATTATTTGTGGCCATTAATATTTTACTTACCCTGAATCAGGTTCTTCAATCCCTTCATTACCACCCGTAGCACCTGCAGACATGCATACAAATTTGATATTCTTCTTTCACAGTTATTCTTTCTACTCTATTGTAAGTTCCTCTCCCTCACTATTTTAATAGGCTACTCACTTATACTTTTAAATTTACATTAGGCCTAATACATTTTAAATTTGTATTGAATAACAATTGTATTTCTGATCGATGGATGAGAGGAATGGAAATGTAATGGGGAGTTTGCTACAATTTACAGTAAAGCTAAGGGGAGTGATTAGGTTTTTCACTATTCTGCATCAGTATAGCTAAGGCCATTTATCACACTGAGGTCTGGTCTTCCTTATAAATCTTGATGTTGTAGGGCATTGTTATCATTATTATTCTCAAAATGCAAAACAACACAAAATGTGAGGCTGGTAACAATTAATACGAAAGTATTGATTTATAACAAATGAGTTAAGATAATTGCATATAGTCATTATTATTATGCATTATTGTTATTATTAATCATTATTATTATATTTATTAATATTATTATTATTATTATTAGACTATAATTTGATACAACATACACAATATTAATTTATTATTATCTGACCTGTGTCACTGGGAGCAGAAGTGCTGATAATCTGTTCTTCGATTCCATACTCTATTAAAAATTTTGTATATATTAATTTATTTTAGTTAAGAAATACTTTCAGCAATTTTTGTTCCAAGGTCCTTATCAATTGCTCTTACAGCATCATACAGCCACCTTGTATTAGCTTTAACTCCTTTATCTGAGCCTTTATCATCATAGACTGTAGTATTTCCTCTCAGCCAATCAGCAACAACATCATTTAGCCCATGCCATGCTGAGTTGTTTCTGTTGGCTATGGTGCCTACTCTACCCTGAGGGATACAAAATTCTTGAGCCAATTGTTTATATTTTGAAGCTATATCTTTGGAAATCAGTCCCATAATTTCATTATGATCATCTTCTTTAAGAAATAAACAGTTTAATGTGTCAGCTATAGCATGAGAAAATTAATTTTACTTTTATCTAGTACTCTTTTAACAAAAGGATCTTGTCAATTCTCCTTACAATAGTTCACTAAATGATACAAAAGGATGTAGCTATACTAGTACTAGCTTAGAATACCTGAAGTAGACATTCTTGATGACAGAGGGGCCAGAGAGAAAGAGATAGGGGGAGAGATTGTGGTCTTCAGTCACAACTGAATCAATACAGGAAGTGCACTGTACTGCCTAGATACAGCTATCAGTTTATACAAAGATTGCATAGTGATAGTGTTCCATTACATTAATATAGCATATAAGTGTGGTGGTAATGTTCTTTATTAGTCCCATCTTTGTGTGAACAATGTAAGATTACTATTACCACTTTTTCTTTGTCTTTATTCATAATACACAAATACCAAGTATATGAGATTCAACATTATGGGCATATGTCAGTATGAGAAACTTAAAAAGAGAAAAGAGAGATAGATTTATGGAAATAGAGAGTCAATAAAACCTGACACAAACTTGTATTTTCTGATACATATTGATGTCCTTATGCTGTGTAGAAAGTTTGAGCTGATTCTGACTTCAATTTTAAAATTATGACCATTTTAAGAAATCGGCCAATTTTTGAAATTTACCCTGTACTATAGCCCATTCTTTTTTTCAAAAAATGGCTCTGAAATTACTTCTGATTTTTATTACATTTTCTGATGCACTCTTACTTGTTTTTCTCTCCATAAACCCTTTCATGTTTGTGTGTATGATGGAAGAGAGAGAGAAAGAATAACAATTAAGTTTGCTTATCTGCCAGCTCTTAGTAAAGAGGCTCTATAGCTGTATAATGGTCATACAGAGGAGGAAGGAGATGATAAGGAAGAATAAGAATAAGTAGGCATTTGAGAGTAACAAGATATGTATTGGGGCATGTACTATATCATTATTGTAGAGAGGATTGGCATGAGCATTAACATTACATTCCATGGCAGCATGTTTGTATAATATTTAGTATAATAACTCTGCTACTGATAGAGAGCAATATAATATTGTATAATTCATTATTTTTAGTAATTATCACAAATATTAGGATCATTTTCTAGCAGTGTTCTAATTATGAGGAAGATAGAGTGAATGAAAGAAAAGATTGAACTGAGGAACATTGAAAGCTTGGCTAATAGTCTATTATATATTAATCTTTTTGTATACTTGTATAGCTACAGTGTTTTTAATACAACAGCTTCACATAGCAGCAGTTTTATGGTTCTGGGATCTCATACTCTATAAAAAGATTTTGAATGTAGTAAACATACATTTGAGAATAAAAAAATTATTTTAGAAAAATACCTTTGGCAATTTTTGTTCCAAGTGTTTTATTTACTGCTCTTACAGCATCATACAGCCACCTTACATTAGCTTTAACTCCTTCATCATAGACTGTAGTATTTCCTCTCAGCCAATCAGCAACAACATCATTTAGTCCATGCCATGCTGAGTTGTTTCTGTTATTGTAGGCTATGGTTTCTATTGTGCCCTGAGGGATACGGAATTGTACTGCCAATTCTCCATATTTTGGAGCTATATCTTTGTCAATCAGTCCCATAATGGTACCATGATCACCTTTATATAAAACAAAGAGTTTTATTATGTCTGCTAAAACATGTTTTACTTAAAGTTAGTTCTCTTTTAACAAAAGGGTCTTTGACATGCTCTAAATGAAACAAAAGAATGTAGTTATGCAAGTATAAGTTTTAAAAATACCTGAAGACATGCTTGAGAGAGGGGCAAGAAAGAGAGAGATTGTGGTCTTTAATCACAACTGATCTATAGTACAGGAAGTGCACCGTGTAGCA